ATTGAACTTGAAGCAAAATTAACAATTGGCCATGGTTGACTTTTCTTGTAAGTATTTAATGGAAGACAACATTGACAAAAAAGATTATCACATGGAATCAATGAATATCTTGCTTGAGGTTCATCTCTTCCACAAAATAGACCTTCTATATTAGATCGAGGTTGAGCTCCTCGAAACGAACAAGTTTTCATATAGAATAAATCGACTAAAAAATATGAAACATATATGCATCATATATATCGATATGAAGACTAACCATCGATTTGTAAATAGAATTCCAATGCCATAGCCATTTGTTTCGAATTGAGTGTTGGTTCTTTTAGAGCAACATCACTCTTACATAGAACATGTCGTCGAAATGATTCATGGAATGCAAGAAGAGTATGACAGATGCTACGAAGTCGTTGTGCATTGAAAGTAACTATTGATTTGCCTACTTGTAATCGTGAAGCTAATTCATTAGCATCTTGTTCAGATAAACTAAATTCATCGGAATAATTGTATTTATTCATCAGCATCAGTGCATCGAAAGTATAGGCTCCATATTGACGTCGATTAATTTGATGAGGTGCAAGACGACTAACTAAAAGACAATGAAATGAAATGATTTATAATCAATTTATATCGAACATACGAACCTGATACATTAGCCAAAAGTAAACACTCATTTGGACCAACATATTGTGTTGGAAATATAGGTAAATAAGCATATCGTCCATTATTTTTATCTAATAATGTTCTTGATTGATATTCTTGTTGTTCATTATTAATAAACAAAGAAGTAGCTTGTTCTGCTCGAGTTAAATCAATTGTATTGAAATCCATATGCAGTAGAAAATATTTTGAATTTTTGCTATTCTTTCGTATTTTATACTGATCATATTTTTGTTTTTTGCGTCAAGATTCTATCTGAAAGAGAGAAGGATATGAATGAAAAAAAGTTTTTGTTTTCCCTATCTAATTTCTTTTTTTATATGATTAAGAGCGAAGATTGTATCTAAAATAGTAAGATAAAATAAGCTCGATATAAAAGAAGTTTACTTGATTTGCATTAGGATTTTGAGCAAAATAAATTTGTTGAAATATTAAATTGGTATAATGATATTGAACCGTGGCAATATATTCATTGATTTCAATATGTAAAGATTGAAGTCCTTGTTGTACAAATTTTTCAATAGTATATTCCATGCTACAGTTATAACCAGATGAACGAGTGGTCTTGACATTTAATTCGCGTCGATAATGTTCCTTTTTATTGTAGAATTCTTGTAAACATTGATTGGCAAAAATTAAACAACTACTTTCATCAATAATATTATCATTTT